ACACACGGAAAAAAATGGACCCAGGAGTTTGGTGAGGTTGCATTAGGTGAGTTACTAAGGAAAAGGACAGAAACAGCTGCTTGATTCAGATGTAGGAGCGAAGTGTTTATTATTTGAGTTTAGAAATGGATGGGAGTGAGTGAAAGGTGATGTTCCCTTAGGAGGTTGATGTTTTTGGCAACAGTACAACCGATGTTGCAAGAAGGGAAACAGTCTCAAGATGAAAATCTCTTACAGGTTGGCATTTGCCCAAAATTGTAATGTTGACAGGGAAGTGTGGGCACACCCAAAAACATCCTGATTAAATTGCAGGTGTTGTGCAAAAGCAAATGGGAAGAGCAAATATTTTACAACTAGCAAGCAGTTCGGGCAGGTGCCTTATATATGATGTGTATAGTGTGTGATAGGATAAATCTTAGGACACAACGTAATTATTTTATATTCTGTTGTAAAATAGAGTTTTGTTCAAAGAATTATACACTATTTGATTGGGAAGACTTTTCAGATCATCTCTTCTAGTTGATTATTTTTTAAACAGAAATAACTCCTTTCAAATAAAAGCTTAAATGAAACTCTATGATATAAAGCAGATGGTATTTTATTAGTAAAAGTAATTTTATAATTAAAAACTCCACATTTTTCCATTTAGAGAATAGTAAATAAATGAAACTAATGGTGTTGTTTTTATTAATATAAAAACTTGGAAGCAGAGCTACTGCGTGACACTTGTGATTTCATGTAGTACTTAGCATCTCATTTATTTTGGTATTTTTATGTGTTTGCACGCTCTAAAAAATCCTGATTTACACAGAAAATTAATTGCAAATGGGAGGTTTTTAGCAGATCCCTAAAGCTGGTAGGAGAAGATTTTATTCTGAGGCTCATTCAAAAATGAGTCACTATAAACACAGGTTAATGCTTTGGTGGCTTCCAATGTGCTAACATCTGGCGTATAACTCCTTGGTGTGTTTTAAATATTTAGATATTTCAAGTGTTTCCAAAACCCTTAAAATGCAAATTGAGTCCAATATCTGTTAAACACTTTCCACAGAAGCTCTTCCATAAAGACACAGGGCTCAAAAGAATTCTGCTAGTTGTCAGTGGTGGTTTAATAATTATTTCAGGTTTCTCAGTTACGGAAGAGTGTGCAATCTAACCAAATAAACAAGGTTAACACTGTGAAATAAAACAATTGACATTCTGGCTAAGAAACGTCACAGTCAAGACTGGACTCTGGACCTCTTGACCTCTTTCCTGTTTTATTTTCGTGGAGAATAAATTCAATATAATATGGTAATGATTTACTTATTGCCAACTTTACTCATTTAGCACCTTTTTTGGACTTGTCTTGTGGATTCCCACTCTGTCTTTTTAATATGTGTTTCATCAGCTAGATTTAAAGTTCCTTGCTTAAAGGAAGATAATTATGTATTTTTCTACAGCCACTAGCACAGTGTGCACCTACTAGAAAATTAACATGCTGATTATGCATTTAAGAAATATATGAACTTATTCTCATATAAATATTTATTATTGATAATTTACTTAGTGTGAAGTGTTCTGCTGATGCTTCCAACTGCACCATTTTCAGTGCATAGATGGACCTATGCACATTTTTGTTTGTGTCATATAACAATTTTATGTACTATTAATTAAACTGGTGTGTAATGAATATCCACGATGCCTCCAACACTGGTATAATTTCATGGGTTCAATGGTGTCATTTTTTTGGGTTTGTTTTGTTAATCCCCACACAAGGATATTTTTTCCATTGGTTTTTAGATAGAGTGGGAGGTAGGGGGAGAGACAGAAAGAGAGAAATACCAATGTGAGAGAGACACATAGAATTGGCTGCCTCCCACACTCGCCTTGACTGGAGCCAGGGATCGAGTCTGCAACCAACGTACCTGTCCTTGACCGTAATTGAACCCGGGGCCCTTCAGTCTGTGAGTCGATGCTCTAACCACTGAGCACCTGGCTAGGGCTACCATGTGCCTTTTGTGTGACTAGTGCATATATTGTAAATCCAAGCAGTTATTTGATAGAAATCATCATGTTGAAATGGGTAGCTGTCATTACTGAGTTTGCCATTAAATTGGGCTTTTAATTGAATGGTTGGCATTTTTGCCTTCTTTCACTGGAATGGTAATATTCTAAAACTAAAATATTGTTAGGTCTGGTTTTATGTTTTTGGGAGATTAAAATTCCTTCTTCAGAAATATCCTGGCTTTGATTAACAATATTTCCTGTCCCACTACTATATATGAGGGTTATTACCCATCCAAGTAAAAGACTTGTTTAGTGCTTTGATTTTTCATAACAAAAGTTCAATCTTATTTTTTCTAAAGTGTTGGACTGAATCCATAGAAAGTTGATATTTTTTAGTTTAAAAAGGAACCAATTTCATATGGTTCTGCCTAGTGTATGAATCCAACTCAAATCAACAACTGACTTTCATCAAAAGCAGCCATAGACACTAAGTGAAAGGCTATGGCTGGGTCCCAATAAAACTTTATTTATAAGCATAAGCAATGAGTTGGATTTGAACTGGGTTCATAGTTTTCTCACTTCTGGCTTAAAGGACAGAGAAGTATATCCTTGGACCATGTTGTTGTGGTGTTAATTGTCAATGAATTGCCTTTGCAAGAGTTACCTTGTGGGGTGTGTTTAGCTTTGGGCTTTCATGGAGGAAGAAATTGAGAAACAATCTATGAAATTCTTTATTATATTTGCTTGGGGGATGCTTCACAGGAATAGGTCTCATATGATTAATCATATTTTTCTAAAGTATTTCCTTCAGAGTTAAGATCTAAATAATGATTTGTTTCTTCCCCTGCCTAATTGATTTTTATGACAATAAAAGCCATAAATGACTGTTTCCTTTTTTTTTTTTTTGCTTTTGCTACCAGAAATATCCACACCAAATCTGAGCTTCAACTATAGCAACAGTATTGCCATTTACTTTCTGTACAGGTGAGATTTCCTTTAAAAAAAATTTTTTTTAACGATATAATTGTCCCTGCTTTGACTATACGTTCAAATTAAATCTTCCCTGGCTTAAAATTTTTTGAGTTATAATCTACTATTATCTTTTGTGATTTTCTAAATAGTAAACTGACTCAAATTCTTGAGAATTACTACTAAGTACATAGAGTAAGTAGATGATACCTATATATATAAAACCTAATATGCAAATAGACCGAACAGCAGAACAACCAAACAACCAAACAACCGGTTGCTATAATGTGCACTGACCACCAGGAGGCACGTATGGAACATGATGGGCGTCGGCAGCAGATAGCAGCGTGGAACATGGCAGGCATCGGCTGTGCTGGGATGGTGGAGCAGGTGAGGGGGTGCCAGACCAAGGCAAGGTGCCGGTCGCTTCATCAGGGTGAGCCTCTGGTGGTTACTGAAAATTCTTTGCTCCCACACACTGTGGTCCTGCTGAGTGCTCACACCTGCTGCCGGCACCGGAGCCACCACTTGCACCTGCTGCCGGTGCCCGGCACCTGCCTCGATTGCTCAGCACTATCAGTGGGTGTGAGTGGCAGCTGCCAGCCCCTATCACCCCTGAGGGCTTCTTCACCTCCCCCTGCTCCTGAGGGGTGATCAGGGCAGCAGCCGCCGCTCGCACCCGCTTCTGGCACTGGCCCCAATCACTTCACGCCGTCAGTGGGTGCAAGCGGGACTGGCACCATCAGCGCGTGGGAGCAGGGCTGCCGGCAGACAGGGGTCCAGGATCTGTGGCGGGAGGGGCCAGACGGGGGCACGGAGGAGGGTGAGACCCCCCACCCCCCACCCCTGTGCCCACTGTAGCCTCATGGCCCACAGTTCCTTTCAAGGTGCACAAATTCGTGCATTGAGCCCCTAGTATTTTTATATCTGAAAATCCAATTTTCTGTAAACTTTCCATATCTAATGTAATTTGATCTCAGGCATAATCTATTAAATTTTTAAAATTCAATAAATAATTTATGAATATCTATTCTCCTGCCTTCAAGCAGCTTTTAGTCTGATGGGGGAGACAGACGTGTAAACAAGTAATGACAAAGCTACAAGGTAATTGTCATAATGGAGGTACATACACCGTGCAGCCTTGAGCTTGAATTTTTAAGGAATGGTGCTGCTGCATCATTCTCCTGATTGGCATGGTAAGGACAATTATGCAGAAACAAATCTTTTGTGAACGGTGATTACTTCCTATGGAAAAGCTTGAAGACATGTGAGCAAGATGATACTTACATTTCCTCAATGCATAAGCTCAAAACCTCTTCTATGACTAATTTAGACCTTCCGATTTACATTTCAGAAAAATGTTAACCTTAAAAGAGATTCATTGTGTAATTGCTAAGGATGTAAGTTTAAGGCTTATATATAAATTAGTCTCTAAGCATTTCAAAGAGTTAGGTTTATATCACAGTGCACTAATGTTTTCCACCAGGAAAGCCAAGATATCCTTTCATGTTATTAAGTACATCTGAGCAAGATTAGGCTGGATGATTAAAAATTCATAAACACTTTTAATGGCATTAATGTAACTAATAATACAAGTAAGAAAATACTATTCATAATTATTCTGCCTTGGTAAATTAAGCTCTTGTAATTGTTCCTTTAACTCATATGCAAAATGTTTTAACACTGTTAAAATCATAGTTTATGTTGTTTATGTTTAAGCAAGATATTTTCCATCAAACTATACATTTTTGTATTTATAATTTTAATACTTGAAATTTATTGATTTTTCAAAAAAAATATTTATTGAGAACCTATTATATGCCACGTTCTGTCCATACAGGAGATATGATAGTTAACAGAATATATAGGGTCCTTGATCTCATGGAGGCTACATCCTGATTGGCAAAGACAGACAATAAACATAGAGATAAATTCCAAAAATATGTAGTTAAGTGGGGAAATAGCTATAATAAAAATAAAACATAAAAATACAAGATAATGAGAAACTGTTGGAGGACGGTGGTAGGTAGTAATCCCTGAAGGTCTTTTTGAAGAGCATTGAGAAAGAGCCAGCCATGTGGAAACCTAGTAGGGAATAGTAATTAGCATTTAGAATTTATTTAAATTTCCCTTATGGTTGAGGAATTAAGTTGTTCACAAAATTTTATTATCAACAATATTGCAAAAAAAAATTCAGTTATATGTATTCGTCACCCTCTTTGTGCTTACCTATAATGGGAAAGATATCTTTTTATAAATCATCATTATGTCATGTGGAATAACTATATTTGCATGGAGTCAGTTTGGATTACTTGTAGATGCTTTACTATGAAGTCCTATGCCTGTTTCTTTAGAAGACTACACATGGTTTTGCTTCTTTTCTCCCAGGATGGAGCTTGAGACAGAGGGCTGCATGGCCTTGAATTCCTAGAGTGCCAACTGATTGGAGTAGGAACTGTGGGATGTATGTGGAGGGTTTGCAGGGTGGTTTAAGGGTGAAAAAAAGAAAGAAGGAGGCAGATTGGGAGGAATGGGGCTCCCACTCATTCATTAGAAGCTGACTATTGACTGAAGGACGATGCAATATAAAAAGTTGATATTAGAGGTTGCCCTGTACTCTCACTACAGGTAGGTTCATGATCAGCTAACAGAGAATGAGAATGTTCTCTTTCTGGCAATAGACTAAACGTGTATGGCTATCCAGATACTGCAGTGTGTAGTAGAGAGTTAAAAATTAAAATGCCTTTAAATGTTCTGTCTTAGAATAAATTAACAAAATTGGGATTTCTAGGTCAATCACTGTAATTCTATTTGTGGTTTATGATATATCACCACATTGTTCCCATGTTATTTAACCCTTCTGTGTTTTAGTTTTATAATCTTTAAAGTGGGAGAAATAGATTATTTGTACCAATTTACTTAATGCTCCATGAGCACCATCTAAGGCAGTGATGGTGAACCTATGACACACACGAACTCATTTTTTTTTGGTTGATTTTTCTTTGTTAAATGACATTTAAATATATAACATAAATATCAAAAATATACATCTTTGTTTTACTATGGTTGCAAATATCAAAAATTTTCTATATGTGACACAGCACCAGAGTTAAGTTAGGGTTTTTCAAAATGCTGACACGCCGAGCTCAAAAGGTTCGCCATCACTGATCTAAGGCATATTTTGCCAGACTGTTTGATATTTAAAATGCAATTTAAATTTTTGCCTATAAGCATTGAATGGGAGACTGATTATTTAACTGGCCATCTGTTAAGTCTGGATAAAAGCACAGGCTAAATACTCTAATGGATGATCCAATCTAAAACCCACAATAGAGCATGCAGCTTCCTTCCTTGGGGTGGCCTTTCCTTCCCACGAGGCTCGTCAACCAGCCTGTGGATTCTGTATCTACGATGTAGTCAGATCCTTGGCTTCTAGGTACCACTGGTGGCAACTCTCCGGACAGCTCCTCTCTACCATCACTCCCACTCATTAACCACGTTCTTTGATTATTTCTGTGATGACTACAGAAGGAAATAATGACTTAAGAGAGTATCAATTATCTATTGCTATGAATTATCCAAAATCTCAGTGGCTTACAACGGTAACCATTTACTTAACTCATGCATTTGTGGGCCAGTGATTTAATCTGAATGGTTGTCCTAGTCTCTGTTAAACTTGCTCGCATGTGGCAGTTGGTTGCCTGTTAGCTGGGGGTGATTGGGTAACTGGGCCACTTTCATTCTCTAGCAGGCTATTCTAGCTCTGCTTTCATTGTGTGAGAAATGTATAGAAAGTAAGTGGAACTTCACAAGAATTTTGATGGCTGGGATAGTTGTATCCAGACATTGAGGCCTTTGTGTGGTTGATAAACAATGTCTATTTTTTTTAAGAGGATATTTTAAGTGTAGTCAATAAAAACCAAGACCTTGGAGCTGGAGTCCCTGGGTTCAAATCACAGCTCTACCTCATTGCTATCTGAGTGTCCTGGGCCATGTTATTTAACCCTTCTGTGCTTTAGTTTTATAATCTTTAATGTGGGAGTAATAATAGACTCTACCAGGTTGGGTTGTTATGAAGACTAAATTAATGCATATATGTAACATGTTCAGAACAGTGGTTGACACACAAAATGCTAAGAAAAATGTTACCTATAAAATATTTTTCTTGTGGGTCACTTTTATTGGTTTCTTCAGGGAACTTATTGCTGGGAAAATCAATTCTGTTTCTGTTGATTTAGACACGGCCCTTCAGCTGGCTGCTTTTGACATCCCCTTAGGGCTGCAGCTTCCTGCAGGTCACCACCCTGCTGGGTGCTGCACTCACTAGGCATCCTTTAAGTGTGGGGTCTATTCAGGATGCTGGTGGCCATGTCCCCCTCACAGGGCCCACATTTGTGCCCTGCCCCAGTGCTTCTCTTGTTCTATCACCAAACAGGTCATTCTAGCCAACCTTTTCTTTAAAAAAATTTTCAGGAGAGGTTCCAAGCCACCTAAGACTGTGACTTTTTCTCTTAAATCTTTTTGCTAAGCCTGATCCTGGAGCAGGTCAAAGATATTAGGTAAAAAATAGTGGATGAGGGTGAGTGAGGAGAGAGAAGAACCTGATCAGGCCCCGGTCTCCTCTCAGGTTCCACAGCCTTTTTCAGGGCCACGCTGGGAAAAGGAAGCAAACATTTATTTTGAATAAAAGTTTGGATCTTTGGTATAACACTGGACTAGGCTTTAAAAATCCACTTCAGTTTCTACTATAAACAGGTGTCTAATATAAAAATATGCTTATTTAACAAAATATGCATCACCATATAATAGGAAAAGGACACACTCATGCTTACCAGAACTAATGCCATAGCACGAGAACAACTTTATAACTCCTCTCCAAATTCTCCCTCGCTGATCTCAACCTTTTCCATAGTAATGATGGGTGAACTGGTTTGGGACCACAACCTTTGGAAATCCTTTAGCACGTGTAGTTGTGGTGGTCACTGGAATTGCTCTAACTGAATTGCATTGTACTCTTAGTTAAAACTGAAATTACACAAAAAATTATATTGAAAATTTTTGTTTTCTATGTATGCTAGTGTTCTTTGTTTCATTGATTTGTATGCTGACTATTGTGTCAGTTATGCATAACTGCATTATTTTAATTGTTGTAACTGTATTTTTTCTAAAATCTCTAACTGTTCTGTGTATTTTTGTATATGTACTTTAACATAACTGTGTTTCACCCAGTGTCAAAGTATTATATGTTCATATCAAAAACTTTAAAAACTTACATATTAAAGAAAAAAAGAAACATATTAACTATTTGATTTAAAAAATCTTATGGCATCAGCTGGGCTGGTGTGGCTCAACAGTTGAGTATTAATCCATGAACGAGGAGTTCATGCTTCGATTTCCGGTCAGGCCACATGCCTGGGTTGTAGGCTCAATCCCCAGTGCAGGGCATGCAGGAGGTAGCTGATCAATGATTTTCTCTCACCACTGATGTTCTATATCTCTCTCCCTCATCCCTTCCTCTCTAAAGTCAATAAAAAAATATTTTTTAAAAATCTTATGGCATCTTCACTTCTGACTCCAAACAATTGGTGGGAGAAAAAAATGGCTTCTTATTAAAAGAAACAATAATCCCTGCTATACCCCACCATACATACATAGTTCAATCCTGGAGAGTTATTGTAAACTCTTAAACTAGCCTATTTTAATTGTTTAGGGGTTGGTAGAATATTAACAATTAAAATCATTACATGGCTAGCTTTTGGTTTACCAAATTTTGACATCAATTGCCCAATCTGCTAGGACACTTAAATCAATCTCACTTCTCCTTTCCTCATTCCAAGAGTTAAATTATTATTTTATTTTTTCCCCTTGTGACTTTTATAAATTTAAATAATGTATTTTAACATTTATACCTTATTCTATCAATTCATGATTTTCAAATTTGAAAAGATGAAGGTATTAGCATTTGTACTTTTGCTTTCATTTCACCTCACCCTTCAATGTCTACCTTCAGTCATGGGCAATTTTTATATTGTCAAGGTAACTGACAATATCGTTAAGAAATATTTATAATATTGTTATTATTTTGCAATCATAATAGAATCTTTAGTGCTATGTATATAGGAGGTGTTGAAACTTCAAAAACTATAGAGACCAGAGAGGCATGCATTAAAGAGACTGACACGTTCCTTTGGTAACCTGGCGATTGTATACTGAATGTTGCCTGCATTAATGTAGACCCAGTAATGCAACATATGCTAGTATTTTAAGAGAAGTCTGATAGTCTAGATTTTCATGTGAAATCTTTTGATTTAAAAAAGCTTGAAGCAGTACAGAGATTCCACAAAAGATTAGGATAGAATTATCATATGACCCAGCAATTCCTCTTTTGGGTACCTATCCAAAATTTTGAAAACATTTATTTGTAGAGATATATGTACCCCTATATTTATTGGATAAAGAGAATGTGGTACATATACACATTGGAATACTGCTCAGCCATAAGAAAATATTAAATATTTCCACTTGCAACAACATGGACAGATCTTGAGAACATTATGCTAAGTGAAATAAGTCAGGTGGAAAATGTCAAGAGCCAGATGATTACACTCATATGTGGGATATAGAACTGAAAGCTTCAATCCCGCCAAAGAGTAGTTTTTTTGCTGGGTAGTATTCAAATATAGAAGGGAAAGTTCTCTGGCTGAGTATGTGAATGGGAGAGGTGAATCTAGGCAAGGAGTGGGTCTAAATCTTTTGGCTTTTAATATAGAAGTGGTTTTCAAATATGTATCTATTTCAGTCATATCTTTACCTCTCTTTTATAAAATACTAGAGGCCCAGTACACGAACTTCATGCATGGCGCGGGGGGGGGGGGGCATGTCCCTCAGCCGGGCCTGCACCCTCTCCAATCTGGGACCCACAGGGATCGGACATCCCTCTCACAATCGGACTGCTCGTTCCTAACGGCTCGCCTGCCTGCCTGCCTGATTGCCCCCTAACCACTCCCCTGCTGGCCTAATTGATGCCTAACTGCTTTCTTGCCAGCCCGATAGCCCCCAACTGCCCTCCCCTCCCAGCCTGATCA